GCACTTCTTCCAACACAGATCTGTTCGTTCTTTTGGCAGCCCATGGCACTTTCAATATTCTCCCCCAACACCATAACTCAAAAGCATCAATGATATCCTTTGGTGAGTACAAAATCTCTCAGCAACAGGCTGAGCCCAGGATGCAGATGCACGTTAGGGTAAGCATGGCCCAAAGCCTTTTCCCCACCCAGGGCTGACATGTGGTGCCCTGTAGTCTGCCCCCAGCTGGCTCTGCCCCCGCCCAAAGGTGGGGGGAGAGGGCTATGCCAGGAATGTGGCCTGCAGCAGGGTTGGGACCAGAGCAAAGGGCAGTTTGCTGCAAGAGGGTGGGTGGAAGGGCCTGTGGCTAGGGTTAGGAGGGACCTCCTGCTCCCCCCACTTGCTCCCTGGTCCCCCCTCTTCCTGGGCTGCATAGGGATCTAGTGGCGTGGAACACTTCCTGGGGCAGCCCCAGCCCAGTAGTGGGGAGCTTGGAGTCTGTGTCTGCCCAGACAGATGTGGGGACAGAGGGCAGCTCCTCACTGCCAGCAGCTCCTCCCACCACTGGCTATGAGGGAATTGCTTTACAGAAATGTCCACCCAAAGCCTAGAAGGCAGCTCTCTGGCTGGAAGTGGAGGCTGGGCTTCCCCCCAGCAGGGGAGTGAGGACACGCAGCTCAAAAAGAATGCAGCTGCTGTTTTCTGAGACCTTGTCTCTGGCCTAGGCGGGGTTTGAACCTCTTGCTCGCTGCTCTTTTAGAGTCTTAATTTTGAGAGGCAGAGCTTGCTGTGACCTCATTTTACAGAGGAGGACACCAACTGTGGATGCTGCAGGCACAGGTGGCCCTGAGCTTACCTGGCTGAATCCACAGACCAGGAGATACACTTTCAGCTGGATCCAGACTCCCATGACTACCAATTCCCAAGTTTGGAGGCTACAAGGGACCCAGCTGGACCAGCAAGGGGGGTTTAGCTCCATGGTGGTTCATGGGGGCAGGAAGGGAGGAGTTCTTGGTGGCCTTGCAGGGTGATAGTAGGTATATTCTGGGCTGTCCAGCTGGGAACTGGACAGGCTCAAATCCAAGAAGGATTCTGGACCAACTGCCTCGTTTCCTGTGTCCCCTGACTGCACCTCTTCCCTGTCTCAGGGAACCCAGGGGCCTCAGGATCACCCCTATTTGAGTTCAGGGAGATGAGCATGGTCAGGAGCAGGGGTTAAGGGGGCTTGGGGCATGGGGCATGGGGAGAGAGGAATGGTCCAGGTCACACACCAAGGTTGTACAATGTCAGCCATAGGGGTTAAAGAACGCTCTTCCCTGCCCTGTTCTAAAGCCCTTGAGGTGTCCTTTCTCTTCTGATTCCCTTCGTACTCTCTATTAGATCCCACCAGTGTTCCCATCACCCCTCTCAAAGGCAGGAAGAATTCCCTCCATTTTACTGATGGGGAAACTGAACCCCAGAGCTGTCTATCTATGGTCACTCCATGGCACCTCTTGCCTCCCAGCCTGCCCTATCCACAGCTCACTCAGGGTGTCCTCAGAGGCCCACCTGCCAGACTTAAGTCCTGAGGGATCTTTTCTGAGCACAGCTAAGCTCTTGTGAAGAGGACTTGGGTGCTCCTGGAGCAGGGAGCAGACATCAGAGACCCTGAAAGGACAGCCTTGGGAAGGACCCTGGGCATACTATTCCAGGGGAGAAGGGAGGTCAGTTGAGGACAAGCCACGCCAACACCCTCTGAGAGTATGTTCTCACCCAGGAGCTCATCTGGGGTCCTGACAGGTTAAATCCATGTGACCAACCCCAACACCTCCTCAACCCCCCCAGGGACCCTGGGATCGGCCCTGATGTCGAGATGTATGTGTGAGTTGGGGGCAAGAGGTGAAATTGCGGTAGGATTGAAGAGACTAAAGCCTGGTTTGTTTGGTAACCTGCCTGGAGGATTCTACCTGTCTGCCTGCCCACTGACAAGTTCTTGGGAGTGTGGGTTGGGCCTGGGGCAGGGTAGGGATGAGGATGAAGCAGAACTGGGAGCCACCTTCCCTACTAGTTCACCTCCTCCTGCTGGTGAAGGCCTCAGGGTCTTAGTTCTGGTCAGCTGTCAAGGACACACGGATGGGAGGGGGCTCAGCAGCTCCCCACAGAGTGACTGTGGGCAGGAGACTAACTAACAGCTCTTCCTCATCAACCAAATGGGGATAACTGTCATCCCATCTCAACTGTCATTAGGAGGATAAATCAGATCATAAATAATACATTTAAAGCACTTGGCACCAGTGTCTGGCACATGGTAAGAACTCAATAAAAGACACGTTAATAATTAGACAGTTGGAGGCACAGTGGGCTGGGCAGGGGACTTCTTCCACACCAGTTTGACCTGCTTACCGAGAGGCTGGCCCCAAGAACAGGAAGGCAGAGAAGACAGGAGGGGAGAGTGCTGGCAGGGCATGGTGAAAGGTGGGATGAATGGACAGGTATGCCCAGAAGCTGGGGCAGAAGCAGGTTTACCTCCTAGGCTGGCTGAGCCCCAGGCTGCCAGGGTTCCAGAGCACAGAGAGAGGTCTGCAGGATGAAAAGCTGGCTTCTCGACCCACACGGCAGCCTGGGTCCTGCCCAGCCTGGTGATGGAAGGGATGCTTTCTAAACGGTCCTACACAGAGTCTGGAGTCAGGATTTCACCTCTCCCAGGGTTTATCCCTGTCCCTTTCTGCTCTTCCTTCCAGAACCTTCTAGCCTCTGTCCCACACTACTCTCTTAGTTTCCCTTACTCTGGTGGCACTGTGGATTAGGTAGTGGGCCGTTGACTACAATTTTGGTGGTTCAAACCTACCAGCCACTCCATGGGAGGAAGATGAGCTCTTCCCGTAAAGATTTAGTCTTAGAAGTCCTAGATAGGGTCACTAGGGCTGAGAGGTTGGCCTGGGGGAGTCTCCCCCTCAACACACTCAGAGGGGTTCACTTTGACTACAAAGCAAATCCCTGTGCCTAGGGGTGGGTGTGCAAGTCCACCCCATTGCCTTCTGGGTCTCTCTGTCCTGGCTTCTCAAGGTTCAGGCCCAATGGACCCTCAAGCCCCCCAGCCTGAGATACAAACAGTCTGCAGGTTTCAACAGCCTTCCTAGTCTGGGGCTCAAAGAGGTCCCCAAAGAGGCTGGAAACTGACCACATGATAAATCTGACGAGACAAGAGGAGAACTTCTTAGGAGAGCTTAAAAAAACAAAACAGGGAAGTACTATTGCAAGGGAAGCACTGTACAGCCCATCTGGGGAGTCCAGCGTCCAGCACCGAGGAGCACCTGTGCAGGCGGAGGGCTCCAATTCAGGGCAGGCTCAGCCCTCACCCTTGTCTCCATGGCCCAGGACACACAGAGGAGGGGAGGAGAGGGACAGGGGCAGGTGAGTGGGCTGCAGGCCTCGGAGCACGGAGGATGTGAACCCTTCCTTCTAGTGCCTCTTCCCCCAACAGGACAGGGGGGTTTGAGTTCCCCTGTGGTGGGTCTGTGTTGTGTGGGCTGCCTGCAGTGACAGGGCCAGGGTAAGCCAGAGATGGGCAGCTCAAGGACGCTGGGGGCAGAGCACCTGCCTGTCCCTAGCTAGCCTTAGGAATAGTTGCCTCCCCCAAACTGCCCACGATGGCTCTGTCCCAGTGGCTGTCCCAGATGTGTCCAGTCTGGCTTTGTTCGCTCTGACATTCATCCCTAAAGCCAAGTCTAAAGATGTGGCTCCCAGGAGCTCTGTCTGGCTTGTCCTTTCAATGACTTTCACTGCCCACTCACCGGCCCAGCCAGACACACCCAACTCACTGGCTGGCCTCTCCCCAGTCCTCAGCCCCTCCTATGCAGCTTTATCAAGAGCAAGGTCCTGCCCGCCCAGCTTTTGAAGACCTTATCCCACTCAAGCTAACTGCCCACCCCCACAAACAGAGCAGGCCCAAATTCCTGAAAACGTCCAGAAAGTCAGCCATTTTGTAGCAAGATTCTTCAGTTTGATCCCTGGCTAGGCATATCCATGCCCACCTCTGGTTGTGAGCAACCGCTGTTTAGAGCTAAGTTCCTGGGAGACCTTTAGGAGGTATACCTTTCCTCTCTCTGGCCTTCTTTTTCACTTTTGGCTACATGGGGGCCAGACTTCACCTTCACTTTTTCTGGCTGCCAAGGGGTAAGGAGGTGATACAGCCATTCTGCAGGGAGTGGAACATGCACCTAGCCTCTCTAGTCATCACCCAGGATCCTTTACTATGGGCTTCTGGGCCTTCCCAGGGGCAGTGCCAGTCCTTGCATGACAGGTGCTGTCTTCGGGTTCCTGGGGTCTGGGCCCCTGGAGTCTGCCCAGTAAACTATCAGCTTTGGGAGGGCAGGGTGCTGTCCATGACATGCTATGCCCCAGGTGCCCTGTACCCAGGCTGGGCCTCATGGACATACACACACTTAGTGGCTATGCCATGAGGAAATTACATGACAGCTAGACCTTGCTCACTCCAGGACCCCAAGAAATTCTGCTGTTGCTCCACTCTCCCAGGTCATGCTGCTTGGATCGAAGACTCAGACAGGGAACAAACGCCATGTGCTTTACAAGACGCTGCTTCTAATACCAGAAGAGTGAGGTGCAGGGCTCTCTGGATCCCTTCGGCTTTCTCCAAATGCTTCCAGGGCTCCAGTTCTCCCTCTGACCAGCTTCAGGGTCTGCACCGTGGACCAACCCTGCCTCTGCTGGTTGGTGCTTGGGCAGCCCCAACTCCTGCACTGTCCTCAGGTTCAGGGGTCCTGGTGAGAGACCTCTTTCTCTCCAGGAGTGTTTGTGGCCTGGATGTGAACTGACAGAGTTCTCATTCTTCTATATTTTCCCAAGTTTTCCCCAAACGCATTCAACGCAACACGTGTGTGCTGGCAGGCCATGCTGTGAGCAGCAGTCATCTGATTCCCCTTCGAAAACTTTCCCGGCGCACATCATCAACATAAGAACCTTTGGTGTCACACCCTCCTCCTCGCCCCACTAGCCCCTGGAAGCCCCCCTGTGCCAAATACCTTGTCCCAATCCACCTCTTTCAACCTTGGTTCCATCTCAGGGTCTGTCTTCTGAGTCTCTGCAGAAGTCACGGCCCCATTTTCTGTGGCAATCTGGAGAGAGATGAGAAGACATGGAGTGATGCCTTACAGGAAGTGAGGGAGCCAGGGGGCACAAGCCCCATGGGAAGGGCAGGACAGGCTGAAATCAAGGTCATGGAGCACTGACAGACAGGATGTGGTAGCATTAGTCTTTGTACTTTCCTTCTCCCTTCAACAAAATTTCTGCTCAAACCAGAGGCAGAAAGATCTGGGGCAGCCAAGAAGCTGGGTGCTAGGCTGTAGAACAGGAAGCAGTTAGTGGGAAAACTCTGTGGGTCTCAGCTCAGTCCTGGCCATTGCCAGGCAGAGGAAGTTACAGGGTGGCAGCCAGGAACCGTGCCTGGTGACTATCTGCTTCCCTGCTCCCTGCTTAATTCAGTGGAGTCTGAGGATCCGAGGCTGAGCCTCGAGCTGCCCACAGGACATAGAGTACAAAGGAGACAGGCTCCCTAGCAATGCCATGTCTGGGTCAGCAGCCACACACGGGGTGAAATTGGCACAAGAGTGCCCAAGTAGGCTCAAGGTTAAATCGAACTGGCTAAGAGGTAAAGTCAGAAGGAAATGGAATGTACTGGGAAAATTACTCAGGCTGAGTTGGCTCTGTCACATGGGGTGAGACTAGGGAGAGAAGGCCAGCACGTATGTCAAATTCCCGCCTCCCTGTTGGAAGGGTGGGAAGAGTCCTTGCCAATGGGCCTGCCAGCCTAGCCCCTGTGACTAAGGAAACCCATGGTGCTGCGTGGCCAAGGAGGGGCCCTGGGAGCTGGGTATTGCTTTAGGCAACCAGGTGGGATTTCTATTGCGACCATTCTTTTTTTTTTTTAAACTTTTCTTTGTGAATTGAATGAAGGTTTACGGAGCTGATCATCAGTCTTACATTCAAGATCTCAGACATTTGGTTTCATCTCAGTGATGGCTGTAACTCTATGTAACATCACTCATCCCACTTCCTCCCTGCTTTTCTTGTTTCCATTCTTCCTTCTTTCTTTCCCAGTCCTTCTGAACTTTGTGTTACCCTTTTCATCTTAAATGGTTGACTATTCTGTGGTGTGTGTGTGTACCTCACTAATGTTGTTGTCCCCCATATACCTGTCTATTGCTTGGCTGAAAATTGAGACACAGGGGTGAGTTCAATTCCAGACCTGCAGGGTGACCTATTGTGACAATTCTTACATTTTTTGCTTTGAAATAAATCCTGATGATGGCAGAGACAACATTGTATTGGCATTTTCTGAGAAAATCCATTAGTAACGCAAATAGAAGTGGGCATTTGTGTCCTTGCCTTGGTTTGTGTATCTCAGGAACACGGTGTGCTCTTCCACTTCTGTAAGACTCTTTTGGTTTCTTGTAGTAGTGTTTTGTAATTTTCTTTGTATAGATCCTTTGTTTCTCTGGTTACATTTATTCCTAAATATTTCATCCTTTGGGTGGCTATTGTAAATGGTATTGCTTTCCTAATGTCCTTTTCAGCCTGTCATTGTTACTATAGAGGAATCCAACTGATTTTTATATTTTGATCTTATACCCTGCCATTTTGCTGAATCTTTAATGAGGTCTAGTAGATTTTTTAGTGAGACTTTGGGGTTTTCTATGTATAGGATCATAATGTTTGCAAATAGAGAGAGTTTTATTTTCTCTTTGCCAATTTGGATGCCTTTAATTTCCCTATTTTGCCGTATAGCTCTGGCTAAGACTTCCAAAACAATATTGAATAGGAGTGGTGACAAAGGGCATCCTTGTCTGGTTCCCATTGGTTTGTGTATCTCAATATTTTTAGCTGGTGTTACCACGTTAATATTTGAATAAAGAAAAAAAGTATGTGCTCTCTTGAGAACAAGGAAGAGGACAGGACGTAACTCATTATATATAGTGAAACTCCCTAAAATTCCAACATAAACAAATGTCTTTTCCTTTTTCATGGCACTAGCTCAATAATAGAGTCCTGGTGTGGCACTGTAGGATCAGCACTGGACCAATACCTGCAAGGTCAGCAGTTCAAACCCACCAGCCACTCCTTAGAAACCCAGTCCATGGTCGCTATGACACAATGGCACTTAATAACAAATGCTTTTCTTGGAGAGGTTTCCAATGTTGTATTGCAAATGATGGCAGGGATTTTGGGCCAGACATTCTTTTTTTTTTTTTTTTAATTAAATGTTTTT